CTCTGTTCACTCTGCACAGGTCAATGAACTCGCCATCATTTGGAGTTCACACACGTTAGTACCAAACCCCAGTGATTTTTGTCCAGTGGCAACTCCAATAAAGCTGAGACTGAAGATTGTAATGCTGGCTTTAATGGTCAATTAACCACACTATAGGAATGTTGCACTTGTCTCAATGAACATTTTTGAGAGTAAACATGTCAGAGTCATTTCCTTTTCATAGTTTGCAGCATTAGAGTGCCTTAGCTGTTATACTAACAAATGTAGCTAAAGGACTTTTTTATTCATTTGTTAACATTAAATGAAAGAAAAGTTGAACTTTTTTCATATTTGAAAATCAAATGAAAAACAAGTTATGCATGTAAATGTTGGGGTCACACCAAACCATGAACTTTGTGTACAGTTACATCCCTCCTTCTTTCCAGTGTGTCCATAATGAGAATAAACACATTTCATTTTCAATGTGCTCAGATAACAGATCTTAAGGACCACTTCTGACACACAACAACCCAGCCTTACCTTCTTGAGCTTGCTCTGGTCATCCTTATACGTGATCATGAGAGCCAGAGCCAGGTCACCCTTCACACGTCTAGTTCCTTCACACAGCAGAGGATGCTCTGCCTCACTAACTGTGGTCTTCATACCTGCAGAAGGTGGAAACAAGAGGAAGGAAATGGAGCGAAGTGTGTGGGAGACAGTGAACAGTACATACAAAGACAAGAGGACGTGAGAGAAGTGGTTAGGATAGAAAAGGAGATACTGACAAACACAGACAGAATCTTATCCAGACAGAAAAGCAAGAAAAAGAACAAGAATGCATTTACCAAGTGCGGCAACAGCAGCCTCAAAGCCCAGCTCCTCATCTCCGGGCATCTCGTTGTTACGGTTGCGGCTGGGTGGACGGGAACCCGTTGGGGACACAACTGCACAAACAATATGGAAACAAGTGACAAGGATGTTCATTCAAATTTAGGTCTCAAAAGTAACACTTCTTCAGTCATTCTACATTGTTACTCAAATGTAGGCAGGCAGTACACATTAGTAAGTAGATGGCAAACAAACGAATGTCTGATTTAACACTGCTTAAAAAAGCAACTTCATAAAGTTAAAATACTTTAACTGAATAATAATATTATTTTATTGTATAGAAAGATAGCTAATTTTAGCATAATTTGCATTGATTTATAAAACCCATTTGAGACCTCAAGTGGCATTGTGGGTAACAAACGCAACCACAATGTAACCATGTTGCTGTATCAGATACCTCTGGATCCCATATGGCATCTGCGCTTTCAAAAAAAGGAAAAAATGCTGAAAAAAATAACTAAAATAAAATCTTAAAGAAAATGCTTGTTTCCACATAAGTAATCTCTGTTTGTCTATGTAGGACACTTGACCTATTTTTCAACACGATCTAACAAAAAACAAATAAGGAAAAGGGATTTCTTTTACTTATGTGCCCAACATCTATACAGAGAGAACTACTGAGATGGCTTTGCTTACATTAAGTATTAGGCTGATCTGAAAAGTAGACCCAATATTTAGATTATAATTAGATTTAAAATGTTGAACTCCAACAAACAATAATTATTGCTTACCTGGGGTGCACAGTACATCGAAGATGAAGCTGGCCAACATAAGAGGCAGAACAGGTCGGTAATCACAAAAGTTTCCGTCCCTAAGCTGCTCGGCTCGCTCTCTAATGGTCGACATCTCCACCAGACCAAGAGGAATCTTTTTCAACAGTGCCACCACTTCTGACTCCTGGTAGGCCAACTTCACCTGTTTTCACCAACACAAGTAGTTAAGACACCTTTGTGTCTCTATCTTCTAAAGGCACAGTCAGATCTATGAATATTTGGACACTGACACAACTTTCGGCTCTGTACACCAGCACAATAGATTTGAAATGAAACAATCAAGATGTGCTTTAGGTGCAGACGCTCAGCTTTAATTTGAGGGTATTTACATGCAAATCAGGTGAATGGCGTAGGAATTACAACACATTTTATATGTGCCCTCCACCTTTATAAGGGACCAAAAGTAATTTGACAATTGGCTGCTCAGCTGTTCCATGGCCAGGTGTGTATTATTCCCTCATTATTTCATTTACAAACAGCAGACAAAGGGTTTATAGTTCATTTCAAGTGTGGTATTTGTGTTTAGAATCTGGTGAGGTCAACTCTCAATATAAAGTCCAAAGAGCCATCACTATCAGTGGAGCAAGCCATCATTACGCTACAACAAGCTGAAAGTCTGCACCTAAAGCACATCTGTTTCATTTTT